GATTAAATAATAGAAGGCAACTGTTCCTTTGCTAAGCGCTCGATCACGGTCCTTTGCAGTAAAAGTTGAAGGTCCTTTGGTTGAAACCGACAGGCAATGGCAAAATAAAGATCCCTCACTCCACGATAGCCCAAAATGTTTAAAGTTTTGTAACCCTTCACCGGTTATTGGTCCTTTACAAAATTAATTTGTTATAACACATTCTGATTCTTAATCGCCCTCTCCCCTAGCTTATGTACTGTACTAATTTACACATTTCACCTGCATGTAGGGTTAATGTCTCTCAGTTGATTCGATACCAAGAGCATACTCTACATATTAACAATTTTCAAAAAGACGTAAGCTATTGACAAACAAATCAGTGAAACAAAGATATTTCGCATTTTTTATGGTCGATACAATGGTCATTAAAGTCAACCTATTATTAAGCCAAATGCTAACTGGCGTTATATACTTATTATGAGGCCGTTATTTACACAACAAATTGTCTACTGATTTTTCCCCATCATGGCATGGAGCATACAGTGGTTGTGGCCAGTCGGCAGGGGATGCTCACTCTTCAATGGCAGCTGATCCCACCTCAGATGATTTGGGAGGTCCTTATTTGAATTGCTTCCGATTTGTTTTGTTTATACGGACTTTGAGCTTGAGTATTGTTCTATCTTTCCATATTATATTCCAAGCCTTTGAGATGGTAAGCATCTCTTAGGTTTGACTCAGTTATGAGAAACTGCTTAATCAATGTCCACTTTCATTGGATTTCATCACACAAAACGTGATAGCACTGTGATTGGTATTTGGATAGAATTTGAGCGTTACCACACATCGCTTAAGACTCATTCATACAACATCTACATGTAGTTACTGTTTGATTTCCATCATATGTGTAACAATCAAGACGTTTTCCCGCCGGTTTTGGTCATCTACATGTAGTTACTGTCTGATTTCCATCATATGTGTAACAATCAAGACGTTTTCCCGCCGGTTTTGGTGCTTGTTTTTTTAACTTGTCGTATAGGGATATTCTTCTTTTAACTTGTTCACTGATGACTGTTGTATTCGGTGTTCTAAAATTAATTTTTCCTTCCAGTTCCAGCCATTTCCATGGCATATGCAATTTTAATCGCGCTGTCTATTAATGTAAGAGCGGTTTTAGCTCTTAGCTTGTGTTTGCTTTCATTATTTTACCCACAGACCAGTCTGTTCTCAGAGTATCGTTTAATGTGTCATTACGTTTCTCAGGTTCTATGGACTATAAGATAAACTCTCTTTGCAAATCTATCTTTAGTGTGAATTTTTACTGACGTCTTTCATACACATTCATTGGTTAGTCATTGTTTACTACGGGTTTGTCCGTTTATCCAACGGTTGTGATCGATCCACTGGGGATGTTTACTCCCCCAAGGCACTGATCCCAACTCTAGTGTTTTCAGAGATGTTTTTTCTGACTCTCAGGTTGAAAAGTTTCTTGATATCACTTCTCTGTCTTCCAGATTATTTCAAAGCTGGGACCTCGTTATATCGTGACATTTCAAGATATTGATTTTGATAATAACACATGTCAAGAAAATGCAAACCACTATACTTAAATTAAATTAACCCATTTATTGGTGTGAAGGTTTTGGTCTAAATTTAATTTGTATCAAGCAGACATACAGTCATAGACAATCGATCCCTTGGGGAGGACGATCCATCATATTTTAAGATTGTATTTGATTGAGATGACGTGTATTTATTAAAAAATTAAGCAAAATACGAAAATTCTCCTAACAAACACATGTTGATACCATCAAATTTCAAATGATCCACTCGATGAATCTATTATGAAAATACTGAATCATAATTTTTTAATACTATTTTTAATGTAGCTGATGGAAATTAGAGTGGGAGTTCTTGGGGGAAGCGCCGTGGAGGCCCTGACTAGTAACGTCAGTAAAGCGCTTTATATCAGGAGCCAAAACCACCTCGTCCCGACAACGAACGACGCCATTGATATGTTGATGTAGGTATGCACACCAATGGGATACTTCCCCTATAGTATACTCTTGTGTGTATCAACAAATTTTATAAGTACCCATAGCTTATCTTCTTGTAAAATAAAATTTTAAATTGCCTATCTGGATACCTATCAGATATTGCTCTATGATTCTGCTACTCTGAGCTTTTAATTTTGCTGTAATAAGACGTTAAAATTGATTCCTATCTTGCGAATATCCAGTATTGGCCTATGTTACTAGTAACCTCTGTTTTTCCTCCTCCTTTTCAATTGATATACATGTACATGCATGTTAATAGCATTTTTGGGTTCCTTCTGTTGAGAATAGGAAGGGTTTGATTGATATCCTACTTATAAATCTTTGCATCAAGTATCTTGTATTTCTCAATCTGTTGTTGTAGAAATGGAAAAATTGACGCCTATCTAGGTGATTATCCGATACTGGACTATGCTCGTGTAAAGCTGGATCCAAATTGCAATCTTTATATTGTTCCCCAGTCGTTCGGTGAAGATGAGTATGGGATAGGATTTCCAAAAGGCTCTCCTCTCCAGGTAGCTAACATTCGAGGTCATTAGAATCATTGAAAAACATAGCTTTTTCCATATTCCCAATTCAATTGCTTTTATAAACATCCAAACTTGTTGCAACAAGTCAAATTATTCTTGCATAGTTATGCCTTGCGGTGATATATATATTTGGTTTATATTTAAGAAACCAGTCTCCGAGAAAATCAAGCATTATCATGATTCTGGCTACTTGGAGAATTTAATAGATATTCACTTCGATGAGGAGAAATGTTTCAACCAAGGAATAAACGAACAGAGGTTCAGTCTGAACGTTTCCCACCACAGTGGACTTTTCGCGCTCCTCTCCATCGCTATCGTCTGCTGCATACTTCTTGTTCTGGTGGAACATCTTGTCTTTAAATATCTTCTGCCCATATGTCGTAGACGACCAGGCGATAGTTTCTGGAAAAGTCTCAGTGTCATGTTCTTTAGTCAGGTTTGACGATATTTCAAAATTTCCAAATAAAATGAAAAAGTGGAAAAATATCAAGTGGTTCATGCAATTAAGCCAAAAATTTTACATTATTGTAGAAATGCAGATTTTATATTGTATATTTTTTAACAGAGGCTACATCGAAGCATCAACAGCGCCGTTTTAATATCCGCTCAAGAGTCTGCCAAGGAAATGTTAGGAATCGTTAAAAAGGGAGACTTTTCCAAGCTATTCATGAAAAGCACCATCAGAGTACGCAATATTTGCACATCATTGAGATGATTTTATTGAGTTGTTGTGCATTTTGTGATAGTCACATATTTTCCAAATTAAATAAAACAACAACAATTAAAAAAAGAAAACATAATGAGAGTGTCCTTTGATAAATCAGTCTTTTTTTTTCCACTCAGAAAAACAAGCTGGCTGATTTGGCGAAAACTAAGAGAATTAATCGAAACTTTCTGGACATCGTAGAAAAAGCAAAATGGTAAGATATTTTATACAACATTTTCCAACTTTATAAGAAAGGTATGGACGTATTCCTATCTTTTTTGTCTGTTGTAGGGTGAGTGATATGAAATCAACGAGTCTGATCCACGATGACTCGCCAATTGAACCTGTAGATATAAAGCGGATATCACTTCGCAACCTTAGCAACTGTGTCAACCTGGAGGCCTTGAGATCTCAATGCCAGAGGTCCCTACCGAAAGTAGACTCGGTGAGAAATTACGACGACAGCAACGAAGAGTGCAGCGATAGCGAGGCAGAGGATACAAGAACTCTGAGTGGTCTTGAGAACACATGTAAAGTTGGAACATCTGACAGCAAGTTCGATATGTGGTATGTTCCCGGAAAACATGTGGCAGGTGATTCTCAATCAAATGGGCTGCCAGAGAACAGTGATACTGGATCATATTATGAAAGACACTTAGACGAAGCTTTCAGTTCTCTTTATCATAGTGAATCAAGCTGTAGCTGTGATACGTGCAAGCATGAAGCATTAGGAGCATGTTATGGCGGGGGGAGGGAAGAAGATTTCTGTGAAGTGTCTTCTTCATTTTCAGGAAAAACTAAATCAGATTTCGGTAGACGGGTTGCTACGTCTGCAAACGAAATAAATGATTTTCATATAGATGACAATCGACGCTATGAAAACATTGACGAAGAAACAGGTTTGTTACATTGGAATGAAAGTGAAGAAAACCTGAAGCTTTATGATAATGATGATTATCGTCCACATTCTATGCAAACATCACAACCAGATCTCAATAAGTCAAGGGAACATCCAACGCGTGCACGTAATAACCCTGATGCGGAGTCTCCAAATGTCCATCACCTCAGCAAAAGGGAACTACTACAGTTGTGGAAATCATCAGAATTACAGCTGAACTATTTACTTAAGAATACACTTAGAGAAAATATTGAACTCAAAAATACTCTTGCAAAATTACAAGGAAGATCCAAGAGAGATACAAAGGAGAGAAACCGTTCAAGGAAAGAGCAATAATTCAACCGTCTTCCCTTAAAATCTTGCTCAATTTCATTGTACTTAGTTATTTTGTGTCAATAAAATATTACGTAGGTTAACATTGAATAAATCCACACATAAGATTATGATTGATATTTATACATGTATATCACATTTAAAAAGCCAATAGGAAAAATTGGAGGTGAGTGTTGAAAACATCTTGATTTGTTTTATTTTCCAGATATATCCGAATTGAATCTGTCGCATAGTTAGCTAGAAAAACCGACAAACACATTTTGATTCAATATCAAAACATGAAAATAGAGATAATTAATGGATAATTTTTATAATTATCCTCAAACTACAACTATTCTTTCTCGTCTTTTAGGACAGAAATGTTATCTGAAGGCAAACATAAATTCTAGCAAACCAGTTTCATATAAGAGCATCATTTCAAGTTTTATCACTTCTATATGAACAGTATTATGTTAAGGAGAAAAACAAATGCCAGCATGTTTATTGCAATTAATTTAACTATCACAACATTACAGCTGACCTAACCTTATAAACTTGTGTAATTATTTTACATAAAAATGAACTATTTTGCATATACCATATATATCAAATTCTTTTTCTTTGGAGTGAAAGAGAGAAGGCATTTGTTCTATGTTTATAAACTATAAATGCATATTCAATGAATGAACAATTGTATCACATGTAAAAACAGTGTGTATATTAAGTAACAAAACAAATGAATCACAGGTATGCGTACAGAATAAAATGTTTGAAAACATCTTTAAAACTTTCCATGGGGACCCATGTCATTGTTATTGTGACAGGATGATATTAATTGATAACAAAGATGCATGAGGTTTTAAGTAGGTACAATTCGTACATTAAGTTGTTCATTAATGACGTAATCATGTAACTACAGACTATGACTGAGATTTTACAGTGGTGTTGCAGTGATGTGAGCAGGTTCCTCTTTCGACACCTCTTCCCTGGGTACGGATTCCGACACCTCCACTACCCGGAGAAGACGCTTTAAGTGGGCATTTTCCTGTGTAACTCTGTTTAGACTGGTCTGTAACTCAATCTCTGATTTCTTCCATAAAACCAACAGGTCTTCCTTAGAGAGGGCATCAACTGCACAGTCGTCAAATGCCGACTCTGAATGCCGACGAGTTGCCATGGCATGACTCCGGATGGACGATTTCAGCCTATTGTCTTTCAGAGATTTTCCGTAAAATGTGAATGCCCGGCCGATATTGGCCCTCTTTGATTTGCGAATAAGTTTTGTTTTATCAGGTCGGGCTGCTATTTCTAACATTTCAATCTCGTCTATTTCATACATCTTCTGTTTCTTTTCTTCTTTTGTTGGACGTTTTTGAAAATTAGGACATGATTTATTCCGTCTATATGATGAATTCGAGTGTGATCCTCCTAAATTGGAGTCAGAACTGTACCGAACACGAGGCTGCTTACAGCGTACATACTGACCTGGGGTGACCTTCAACGAATTCGTTCGAATTGTCTCAGGACAAGACGACTGAGCATGTCTTTGATTGTTAATCGGCACATCCGAGCTGTCTAGTACTGTGTCTTTTATATCTTCGAAAGAAATTTGCATATCCTGTTCGTCACCCGTTGCGTAATCACTGATGTCACTGAGTGAATCGTCATCATATTCCTGTTCATTGATAGAATACAAATTACTGGAGGAAGTGGTGGCAAATATTTCTGATTCCGCTTTCTTCGATCTGCATAAAAGAAATAAAGTATAAATTCTGTTCTGGACATTTAGGAAACATCGGTAAGAGTATATAGAAAATGTTCCTTCCGACCAGTAGTATTACAAACTAGAAAAAAATTACATACGGTCCCCGAATCTTCGATTACTGGCAAATAAAAATTATGCTAAATTATTGAATATGAAAGTGACTGCAGATGTTGACATAAACTCACCTTATCAAGTTGTCTGTAATATCTATCAGTCTAAGACCCTTTGGAACCCCCTTCTTGTGTATCTTCCCCTGTGAGAGAAATAATGATTACAAAAAAATGTCATTCACGCAATGTGTCGTTTATGTATTCATAGTTATACACCAATTCATGTCCTAATAATGATAAACACGCACATTAAGAAGGATGGCTACATTTTAAAGGTCATACAAAATTCGCCAGAGTCTCTTATTTCATGCAAACTTAAGACATCATATTTTTCTGTTTAAGCTGATGTATCGCCGTCGATTTGAAGTACCGATCTACATGTTGAAATCTCAAGAGCAATATAATCATAGTCAGCTGTTGCCTTGTCTGGTAGTAAATCACACAAGCTAGAAAAATATGGATTGTATGATCCAGATAAAATTTCAAAAGGTTATATCTGTCTTTAAATGTAAATTTTATGGTATATTTATAAATTTTACAAAAGCATTAATTGATTTGTTACAGAACGGAATATTAAATAATTTGAATGTTTGAATTTCCTAATCTTAATTTCTTCCAGTTTATAAAGTTAGTTCTAATCTAAGTCAACGATGGGTAATTGATCATGTGAATCACACAGCTGTTGTAAGTAGTAAGAAATGACCTGAAATTAAGGCATCAAAGTGGACAACTCAACCTACTCATTTGCAATCAACATTAATGGTTCAAAATCTGATTTGCCAGTCAGTACTGTTTTAGAGCCATTTTTTGAAATATAATTCTATATGCCCAAAAGTGATGAGTTGTATGGGGGGTACATCTATTACATTTCCAGTACCCGTTAGACTTTGAACAGATCCATCATACATATAATTTTGGTCTAATGCTAACAGTTTTTTTTGGGAGAGAACATGCTCTACAAACTAAACATGGTCACATATCCAGAGAAAAGCTCTTATTTACCGCAAAAACAAGTCTGGTAGTGTCCATTTATAAACGCGTCATACATACATGTTTGTTTACCATATTGGTAAAAGTTACTTGCAAATTGAGATCTTCTTCAAATACTTCAATCTGATCCAAAACATTAATCCAAGATATTGGCTGAAATTACAGTATCTGTTCAAAGTCTAACGGGTACTGGAAATGTAATAGATGTACCCACCATGCAACTCTGATCACTTTTGGGCATATAGAATCATATTTCAAAAAATGGCTCCAAAACATATTTTATATAAATATAAATATCATAGGGATGAACACTGCCAGACTTGTTTGGATGCTGTCTTTGACCTGTGTTTTCATACATTGTAATAAATGAACGCATTTAAAGCTTGTACAGCTACAGCATTCCAAAATATCTAATAATCCTGACTTGACAATTAATGGTTCATCTAGGGATGAAAGTCACAGAACTTTCTCCCGATTCTGGATCTAAAGTACATTAAGGGTGACTGATTTTAATGTTTTTTATGAAGTATATATATGGAGATAGCTAACAGCGTTCGAGCTCAAAAGTCTACTAAACAATACAAAATAGGAGCAGAGCAAACACGGACCTCCAAAACAGGTAGGATCAGGTGCCATGGAGGAGTAAGCATCCCCTGCCGACCGGTCACATCCGGTGTATGCTCTTTTGTCATGATCGGGAAGTAATGGAAAAATTCGTCGACAATTCTATGTGTATATAATGGCCTAACAACTAGCATGAAAAACGTCAGTCAGCATTTGACTTAATGATAAATTGTATTTGCTGACAAAGTCATTTGTATCGACCATAGAACTTACGAAATGATGACTTTAAATGAGACTGCTGATATTCGTGTTTCAGTCATTCAATCTTCTGTCACTACAAGCTCTATGCTGACCAAAGCAGTTTAGATAATACATCTTGGGATGCACACAATGACGCTACCAGACTTGGTTTGGATACTAAATCCTAATTACATTTTCAGGTGATTGAATAGAAAAAAGTTTTTTTAAGCAGATCCATTCCCAAGTAAATAAAAGCCTATACCAAAATGTTCTTGCATAAACGTTGTATATTGCACTCTAAAAAATATAAGCGTTGTGCGAGACATTGCGCCTTACTTTAAGGTATGACACTCGCGAAATTTGTTAAATCAAGGATTTTTTGAGAAATATATTTTTGATAAGTACTCATACAGAGTGACTCAAAATCGCAGAAGGGGGTCATTGTTCATTTTACTGATCTATGGTACAATGAAGTTGACCTTTTTGCATTTAAAGTTTAACTCTTTGGTTGATTACTTTAACCTTTATCATATTTTATCAGATGTGACCATGGCAATATATATGATTTTATTTTACGTACAATATTTTGAATAATATTTATCATTGAACAAATCTTGCAAATTAATGCGCGTAAATTGTTGTGTGACCTCTTTGCACTAAAAAGTTACATATTTGGGGTATTGAAAAACTAAATAGGCAATAAACCATTTTTTAAATAAAGCTTTTTACGACTTAAGTGCTGATCAGTCACAAGTATCGAGTACTTTAAAATAAGTTGGGGTCAGTGATATTAATTTTGAAATATTGGTCAAAATATGTGATTTTCAGGCGAAAATTGGTGTAAATTTTATCTTGACTTATTTGACATATCTTCATTTTTTGGCAAAGTTTGTTGAAGAAAGGTGTAAAACCTGTTCTAAAAATATAAATCAAGAATTATATTAATTATTCCTAGCAATATCATAATGGAAAATATTCTCCGAGTAAAAGTATGTGAGGCTAAAGTTCCAACATATTAAATTTCATAAATATGCAGATTTGCAGAATTATCTGCTAAATATCCTTCCACCACAAGAAATAATCCCTCATAAATCTTGCTTCTTTGTAGCTTTTTGACCAGTTTTTTCGTTGAATGTTAAAACATTAACATTGTTGAAATTAAATATGTTATAAATATTGAATTTTGATAAATAGTTTTGAAGTAAGAGGTTCTGCGTGAACTTTTCTAAAAAGCTGACGAGTGACATACCTTACGGTAACACTCGATGAGGTGAACTTTTAAAACTTATTTTTTCCTTTGTTTAATTCTACAAAACATGTTTATCTTAAAAGTGGACTCACTTTTGGTGTAGATGTGGACGTTCAAATTTACATCTTAGATTATTAATAAAAGAAAACTAGAAAATGTAAATACAGACGTCACTTGCTAAATATTGAAAAGGAAAATTACACGTACCCAGTAGAGTCAGGAAGTAAAAATAATTGTTATGAAAGAATTCAATATCTGAATAAATTTTACGTCATAAATATTTACATCCACTGAATATTTTCTCCTTTATTTCTTAAGAAAACTCATTGCGTTAATCAGTGCATGAACTACACTGGGCATGTCACCTATACAGATTTCTAGAACAGTGGCTATTCCATCAATGAAACGTACAAAGACGTTCGCATCATTAATACAATAATTAATCTTTTTAATCCTCTTTTAAATGATTATTTAAATAGATATAAATATAAACAATAAAAAGTCTTTCTTTGGTTGTTAGTACGGGAAGGAATGTCGCAGCTATTTCAGAAAAAATTTACATAACCCGTTTACGCGGGTTATATCTTTTTCTGCAACAGCTGCTACATTCATTCCCGTACTAACAACCAAAGAAAGCATTTCATTGTTTAAAAAAATTCACAGAGGAGTTAAGATATCTACATAACAAATGTTTCCATATTATTTGACATACATGATCTCGGAGTTCGTTTTTGAGGAAGAGTCTGTCGAATCGTCTTTCCCTAACCATTTTGATCATCTCCTGTGCTGTCTGTTGTGGAGACACTAACCGCTCACTCATCAACGTGCGATACAGTCTCTGTAGAAAAAAAGTTAAGTGCTATTTGTAAGGTTTTGAATTAACAATACAAGGGCTGTTAAGAAAATTCTAATACATTGCGTTTTTGAAAGAAAAATATTAACATATTTTTTGATATACGAGTGTGTGGTCATTCAACCGCTAAACAAAGAAATATAGGATCTCCCATGATATATAGTTGAATTTGATTTTTTCAAACTAGTCTTTTTATCCATGGGCCGCCTTGTCGAGGGGATAAAAACATACAAGAAGTCGGTTAAAAATCAAATCCAACTATAAATCATGTGATATTCCTCATCCCAAGATTTATACAGTGCAATCAATGTTTTACTTTTTTTTAATTGACTTCAATTATCTCAGGCAAATGCCATTGTGACGTCACAGCAGTGGGATATCAAAAAAATCCAATGAGTGATATGAACGGGAAAAGGGGTAAAGGTATCCACGTATAAGTTTTAAAATTCAAACTACAGAACGCATTATCGGAAATTGTATTTTTTTAAAATGAACAAAGTAATTCTATTCCTGCTTAGTCATCCTTTTGAGTATCCTATTCAGAAGCTGGGGAAAAAAAGCAAAGCCAATTTTTTGCATTCTCAGATCTGTAAGAAGTTTATCCAATACAATATAGAATAGTGATCGCTTCAAAATGCATTAAGAAAGATAACTCTCTAACTAATTCGCATTCTGCGGTCTTAAAACATGGAATTCCAGAAGTAAATGGAAAATGAAGAAAACATAGAATACTGTAGCTCAGTCATCCATTCAAATCATGGGCAGAGCAAACATGGACCTCTAAAACATCAGGGTGGGGACTAAGTGCCTTAAAGGAGTGATCATCGCCTGCCTACCGGTCACAACCACCATGACATGATTGGGGAAAACGAAAAAAAATCGTAGATAATTCACTGCGTAAATAAAGACCTATTACTAACAACATCAGACAGGATTCAATATAATGATAAATTGGATTTGCTGGCAAGGTCATCGTATCAACCAAAGAACTTCCAAAATGATGAGTTTAAACGAGACTATCGGTATATTTCTTTCATCAGCCTGTTTTTCTATAGTATACATATTTTTTGAAACTTTTTACGTATAACTTGCTCTTGCATATCGAATCAACTGAGAGACATAAACCCTATAAGGGTACCGATAAGGGTACGCTGCTAGATAATTAAGGAAAGTTGACGATTTTTAACAAAGCTTTTTAGTTGGGTAACCATTAACGTCTTTTTCAAGTAAAATATCCAAAGATGAAACAGATGCACTAGACTCTGTGGTAACTTTCAATTCAAGCTCAGTGGGTTATATCCAGTCGACATATGAATGGGAGTAACTTTTGTTAATTGACAATATGTCATTGATATATCTAAATGTCGAGGGCTAAAGCAATTGTTTCCTTTCCTTGTGTATAATCTAAGATTTTGAAAAAATAAAATCTGCATTCACATAAATACAGAGATAGATCTGTTAATAACAGGGCAAAATAGTACAAACAGGAATTCCGGCAGATTGTTGGAAGACGTGGTCTCCAAAAACGACAAAGATATTTTCAATCAGACACTCGAGCATCTTTTATTATCAATTAACTTTAGAATACTTGTGTGTACAATCAGAATGTTTTATAACCAAATAGTTATGCAAATTGCCATTGACAATTAATCAAGATTTACGAGTTCCAATTTTTATGAAAAACAGCTGTTAATGCTTCAAATCGCTACGACTTAAATTTTCGTGTTGAATAGTTGTATGAAGTGTTGAAAAATCTTAGTTTTGATGTTTTTGTGGGTATATAAAGTTAACGAACAGTATTGAACCTCAAAAGTCCATAAAGCAATACAAAATGGGAACTGAGCAAACACAGACCTCCAAAACATCAGAGATGGGATCAGCTGCCATGGAAGAGTGAACATCCCCTGCCCACCGGTCATATCCGCCGTCTGCTCCTTGTCATGATCGGGAAATAACGGAAAACCCGTCGTCAATTCAGTGCGTAAATAATGGACTAATCATTAGTATGATACCGTCAGTCAGTATTTGACTAAATTATAAATTGTATTTGCTGAAAAGTCATTGAATCGATCATGGTACTTTGGAAACGATGACTTTAAACGAGACTGCTGATATTCTTGTTTCATCAACTTGTTCGTCAATAATTCACCTCGACTTAGAAACTATATATACGTAGAGCATGCTCTTGCGTATCGAATCAACTGAGAAATATAAACTCCGTGGGCAGGTAAAGAAGCTACACTGATGCGTAAGTAAGGGAAGTTGACGATTTATCATAGAGCTTGGTTTTTAGATTACCATTAACGTCTGTTTTTTAGGTAAAATATCCAAATATAAAACAGTTGTGTCAGACTCTGAGGTATCTCTCAGGCTCACCGGGATATATGGTATTGATATAAGAATGAAAATAGCCATTGTTAATTAACAATACGTCGTCGATATATCTAAATGTCGTGATGTTAAAATGTTGTGATTTCAAATTTTCAATTTATCAATTAAAAATTTCGGACGTTTTATGGTCAATGGTGTTACTTTGTTCACAAATACAATATCCCGTTATAGATTGAATGTTGACTGAAAACCCTTAAAAATTGTTTGACATACTGAATAATCTACCGTTTTTTGGTTTTTTTTTTTAACGTTTTCCTTATCATTAGAAGGGGCGAACAACAATGATTCTACCTTTAATATCTTCAGACACCCCTGTGGGCTCTGCTAGCTATTGTAAAGTTTAAAAAGACTGCACATGGGCACTGTTTAATATATATCTTCGTCACGTTTCATAGAAGTAAATGCTTTCATTTGAGTAGGTATCACATTGAAGGAAATTGGAAGGTTCATTTGAATTTTGTTTACATCCAGCACAGCTTTCTGCTCATAAAAATTGTAAATTTCTGTAACTAAAACTATCAACAAGAGATTGATATAACACAAAAAATACCTGCAATTTTGTAAAGGCAGCTTATATAAACGTCAACGATTTGATAGTGCCAGCAAATCAAAATGCCAATAATACTTTAAGGACAGCCATTGTATATTATACTGACACGCAAAAGAAACGCAACACCCTTCTTTAGGGGGAAATAATTATGTAAAGTAAATAATCTTGCATCTTAAAATTATGAATATCTTCAATTTGGTAAACATCGGTAATTTAACGGTTGAATAATTTCCAAACCATAACCGGAAGTCAAGTTTTAGTCTGCTTAACAGAAATCAAAAATTGCATGTTTAACAAAACATTTGGCAATTTTATGGAGTCTTAAGGGGTTTTTTTTTACTGTTCATCAGATGTAATGCAGCAATATTTCAAAAAATAAACTCTCCTTTCGTTTCCCGTAACGATGCTAAGGCTACTTGGAAATGGCTTGTGTACGCATTTCCATTGCTCTGGCTTGAAAATTTCAATGTAAAGGTGATGGAGAATTGCTGATGCGAAATTTCACTACATTACGCCTCAACAGGGTCTTGCGTATCATATGCAGTAAGGACAGAGAAAATTCGACCTAATCATCTGAATAACGGGCATTTAAAAATGCCAAAGAATAATTCCTTCGCTCAGATCTCGATATTAATGAACATATTGTATCGTAGAAATTAAGCTGCAATTGTTGTTTAGGGCAGTCTTGCACGTTTTACTTGAATGGCTGGGAGGGGGGTGTTTTAACAGTCATATTTTACTTAGTAAAGTAAACAGATAAACATTTAACATTTTTATCAAATCTCTGATGTTCTGAAAAGTGAGTTTAGCCTTACTTTATTCGCTTTTGATAATCATCAGATAAAAAAAACAAACATTTGTAGATTACTACTTGTTGCGTTTCTTTTGCGTGTCAGTATATTAGCAGATTTATGACAGCAGCATTCATATTTTATAGATACATAGATTTAGCTCGAATGGCAGCAAATTTTTTAGGAGCGGTATCATGTATTAATAATAATTTAAAAAATTTAAATATTTAAGGAAATAGAAATAAATAGTTTTTTTTAGAATTTTTTTAAAAGAAACATTGATAATAATACCTTCTTTTCTGAGATTTTAGCAGAGAAGTTTTTTTGCACAGAAAAATGTAAATGATATCCTTATTGGTACGTGGAAATGTTATTTGACTATTATAATCAATAATATATCATTATTATATAACTGATTTTATTATATCAATTACGCCCAGTTATTAGCAAATCTATTTTTGAATTTGTATTAAAGCAGAATTTGTCCAAAATGTTTTTATGCGAAATGAAGAAAACACTTGCTGTGGCCTTCAGCTCAACATCTAGATTTATCGACGACGTATTGTCAATTAACAAGGTGATTTTCATTCTAATTTTGATATGATATAACTCCATGAGCTTGAAATAAAAGATATTACAGAGTCTGACACATCTGTTTCATAATTATTTAGATAATTTACTATCAAAGACATTAATGGTAATATAACATCCAAGCCTTATGATAAACATGATGACTTTAACTTTTAGAGCTTCAACTTCCCTTAATTATGCAAAAAAAATACCTTCATATACCTGCATATGGCATTATATCTCTATGATTCAATACACAAGCGTATGCTCTACGTATGAAAAATCTCTAAAACGAGGTAAATTACTGACAAACAAGTTGATGAAACAAGAATATCAGCAGTCTCGTTTAAAGTCATCATTTCGTTACTTCTGTGGTCGGTTCAATGACCTTGTCAGCGAATACAATCAAATGAAGTCAAATGCTGACTGAAGTTTTTCATACTAATTATCATGCCATTACTTACGCACTGAATTGTCGACGGATTTTTCTGTTATTTTCAGGTCACGACAAGGGGCAAACGCCTCATTGTGAATGGTCAGCAGGGGATGCTTACTCCTCCATTGCATCTTATTCCACCTCTGATGTTTTGGAGGTCCGTGTTTGCTCTGCTCTAATTTAGTATTGTTTAATGGACTTTTTTGAGCTTGAATACTATTTATCTCCATATTTATCCATTTTGACATTTGTAAAATCTTTTAATTACTAATATATAGACTGACGTGTTGTTTTGCCTAAGGTTGTATTGACTGAATATTAAAGATATATTATCATTATAATAATTATTACCTGATTAACATATTCAATATTTCTGTTTTTCCACAAGCTGTCATTGGGCTTTTTACGCAGATATGGTACAAGATACTTGAATATATAAAGCTCTACGATAAGCAGGAGTGCACCCACAAACATGGCCGACAAGAGAATGATGAACAAGCCTCCCGTGTGATCCAAACCATACTTCCGGGTAAAGCGCTCACCTTGAGCTGCACAGTTCCGGTTTTTGATATATCTTTGCATAGCTTCTGTTACTTGTCCGCCTTCTAGGTAACTCAGAATTAACGAAGACATGTTCTCCTGTAAAAAAATATACTTACATGAAATTAAATTTATCCCAGTAATAAAAAAAATCTAGAAGTATCAAAAAGCTTTATCCCTTTGTTTCTGGTATTCTTATTCCAGAAGGCACTCTGATGTTTGTACTTTCTTTCTGGCCATATTCAAGCTAAGATTGAGATAAGAATACGTGTATGACCATGTCTGTCTTTGTTGTTAAGGCAAGTACCCCTTGTGATTATATAGCACAAGATCCCTTTGAAGTCTAAGTAAAACAATGTAAAAAAAAAACTTTTCCAGAATTTGAAAGCTAAGCTTTTCCATCGATTTGTTGAAATCCTGAGACATCAGATTATATGTCAGTAACCTGCCTCGGTTTAAACATTTATCGTAATCAGAGCATTTCTATTGAGTAGCGAACTGTTTTCAGAAATCGTAAAGTGCAACCATTCAAATAATATTAAAAAAAAATTGAGCTTAAATGTGTCGATTATATCTTTAACCTGTCCACGAGTCATCTAGCCACGAGTTGTAAACCCAGATGAAATCAATGATGCTTCAAATTATATCACTACGTGCTAAACAGAATCATGTCATATTTATTTCCTTTACTAGGTAGTGTGACGTCACCTGATTTACCACAGACTCAATCCGGTTGAACGGAAATTTCCAACCCTTCTTACTAACCAAATGAAACTTGAGCGAAAAGCTTAAAGGAAATAAATGCTGCTGTACCGTCAAATGAATTGCATCTCTATTCAATCCGAATGCGTAGAGATTTTCTCCAAAGTCATGACCACTAAATTTGATTGAACAGTTGTCGTGCTGTGCAAGTGTATACTCCAGAAGTAGACGATCATTGATGAAAACGTCATAAGTTTTATCTCTGAAAAGAAAGTATTCATACTATTACCCAAATGATTAGAGGTGAATAACTATTGAGGTAGCGTGAAAGTTATTTAAAAAATCATCAGCGAAATAGGAATTTACTGATTAGTTCAACCTTCACAATTTTTGCTTTCATTTTTGACATTTGCATTTCCTTGTCATTATAAAACCTTTCATTACAGAGTTTCATCAATGACAAATTGTTTCGATGTCATTTGTTTCATAGTCTCTTGATGAACATTGACAGTTACAGTTATCTCAAGCAATTTACTAGTTTTAAACAGTACAAATAGGATGATAATAGACAAAGATAACTTAAAAGGAAAAGAAACGCATTTTATATCCAACATTAATCATCAAGAACATATCACAAAATTTTGGCAAAAGTCTGGGTGTGAATGTAAGCCGGTATTATTTATCGTCATTATTGATGCCCTTTTTACCGCAACTGCCAACAACACTATGCCTAAATGAATAACAGAGGCCTAAAGCATAGCTACTTTGCAAGGGCAAGACACAATTTCCGTGAAAGAACATTTTAACGCCGCAAAGTCATCTTTTTGTTTTCTTCGAAGAAAAATATTCACAAGAAGTCGAAAAAGTCGCGCTTGAGGCGGCTCCGTAATTCATCTTGAAATCTAAACGACTGTCGAGACTTCTACGGGAGGAAGCAACAATGCTCGAATAAATGCAAAAACGGTAAGACGTTAGGTATCATGGCGGGTCGTACCCTGCAGACTGTGCAATAAATTGTAGTGAAACATCGAAATGGATTGGATACATAGTTTTTAATCTAAGGTGATTCCCCTAATAACACCGGAGATATGCCTAAATTCTGTACTTGTTTAGAGTCACCCTCCTGCCGGGCAGTTGGAAGGAGGTGTATAAACGTAAAGGTAAATGTTTTCCCAAAGCATGCATCGTGAAAAATTCAGTTTGGGGGAGGTTCCCTTATATTGGTGTGGAGTGGTATAGCTCTTAAACTAAAGAATACTTTAATTGTTATTGAAGATTCTCCAAGGGATAAACGTTAAAGAGCCATCTTATACCCTTTTCACGTAAGCAAAATCGTTTTATTCTGCAATTGAAAGGTACTCGGCCATTCGTTACAAGATTATGTCAAGATTTCGGGCAACAATCATTATACCACTTGAATGGCTCCTTGCAGCCAACTCTGCATCTACTGAACATTTTAGGGTTATATTGATAAACCAGTTCGCACCATTACAATCTTACAACACAGAAAAGATTGTTAAAGCTTGATGAAAGAATGTAATATTTTTCGCTGAGAATAGTTAACAGATTTAATAACTTGATGCACAATAGAATCCGTTTGCGCAGGAATTTCTGATCATAGTGGATACGCTCGATATTAACCACTAAACTTTGGCATGAGGCTCCTCATTGTAGAATGTAACGAACTATACTTGATTTTTGATTGATAGCGATCGTATGCATAAATTCGGCATTATGAGATGTTGTAGATTTATCTTTTATTCTAACGCAATTGTTTTGTAACACACGTTTTGACTGGCTAATGCACTGATGTTTGAAGCAGTAAAACGAGCATTAACGAGAGTGAAAGCTTTTCATTATGACGTCATAATAAAGCGACGCAAAAACACAATGCCCCGTGACGTATTTCATGTAACAAAATTTAACAAAATAAGACGTTAACAACAAACACTAGATGCTGTCATGAGACAGTAATACCCGCACTAAGGTGTTTGCCTCTAAATACACAATCCTACGGGCGGCTTACCAAGGAAAAAGTCAAAATAATTCTATATAATTCAGGCACGTAGCATCGTTTTTGAAAGTGGGGGGGGGGCAACCTGAGAAAATTTTTTTTACTAACCTAAAAAAATTAACAAGGAAAAAAAATGAAATGGGGGGTGGGGGTGGGGGGTGGGGGTGGTGGCCACTTTTTTTTCAAGGCAAAATTACTTTCACTTCCAATTTTTCCCATATTTCCTTGCAATGTATATACTGTGGTTAAAAGTGGGGGGAGGGGGCAACCATCTTTTTAATGGACATTTTCTTATAGTACAGGTAATGTTGGGAAAAAGGGGGCAGCCCCCCCCCCCCCCCCGGTTGCTACGTGCCTGTAATTTACATATGTATTCATAAAATTGGGTATGAAATTATCCCTGTGACCTATAACTCGGAACCTCTTATATTTATTTTACATGCTTAATTCATTATATACCAGTTTGAATTCTATTAATAATGTAAATTAGATTTTGATAAATGTTTTGCTCATATTAGGACCTTTTTAAATCTACTAATCCCCCCCCCCCTCTCGACACCACAATCACACAGTACATACTTTTGGGAATAGGCTAGATGGAACAGTTTTGTTAAAACAGTGTTTGTTATGAATTAATTTAAAATTTGTTCTTGACATGTAAATTCTACATCACATCACGTTGCGTCACCCATTATCATATTTTTAGATTAAACTCCATTCGGTACACCTCGGCCGATTCCCACTTCATCTGATAAGGTGACGGAATCGACGGCACGGAGGTTTTCCGAATGGAATATCATTATAACATGCTGCAGAATGGTGTGCTTTGGATTAATTCATTTTGTGTTATAATTGGATTTATATTTCATGAAGTTTACAGGACCTATGGAGGTCGGTAAGTACAAGTTTAAGTATAGTGGGGGTAAAATAAACCCAAACGATTAGGTTAAAGTTCAAAAAGGGTCAAAGATCATCGCATGCCACACTAGACGAATTTCATATTGTGAAGTTATCTCCCCTTGTCGATGTGACATTCAGTTACTGCCAATACTGGTGCGGATCCAGAATTTTTTTCGGGAGTAGGGAGGGGGGTTCACATCTCAGTCAAAATATTCATGCCTAGAATTTCCTGACAAGCAGGAGAAAAAAATCATACACTGAAAACAAATAAACAAAAAAAAAACCCAATGTTTTTTTAGTTAGGGGGAGGATGTCCAAAATCATTTTTTATTTGCTTCAGTATATAGTCTTGTTTAAATAACAAAGGAAATTCCAGGGGGGGTCCAATCTCCCTATCCACTCCCTATCCCTGAAATAACAATCTATTTTGTGATTCCAATTAAATAGTATATTTTTTTCCATTTGACTAATTATGTACATATTTTGTTTCTTGTGTTTATATTATGTCTGTATATTTGTCTGCAGAAATTATAACCTTGCCCATAAGTTTTAAGTGGGATGGGCTATACAATTGGCTTCCACATTTTATAGGTTTATTTCTTGTGACAATTAAGACCTTTTATTTGGGTACCATTAATTTTTACCTCTGATCACTTGACCTAGAATACACATTTTTACAAGAAAAATACCCAACTTTAAACTTGGCCTAAATTTTGATCAGTAGGTGCTAGGGCTTTCATGCTTAACATGTGTATTCATTGTGAACTGTCAACAGGTATAAATATGTTTGACCTTGACCGTAGAGTTTGAACCACTTAAAAAATTAACCTTGGCAATCAACTTTTGAAGAGGAAGTACTAGGGATTACTTATTTCACATGTGCATTCCTTGTGACAAGACTTTTTTCTGATACCAACAATTGAACCTTTTGACCTTGACCTTTGAGTTTGACATATATTTGA